ATTGCAGCCAAGTGTGCACACTACATGGCATCTGCCATTGGGCTGTGGTGTCTGTGTGTGCGTTTGTACATATGTGTGCGCACGTGTGCATGCAAGCACTTTGAGTCAGTAGCAGATCTCAGTGGAAATCAATGAAGAGGGCAGCATGGAGAACACCAATAAGCAGTTCTCCAATCACACGTCAATGAGTTCTGAATCTACCCTGGTGGAAGAAGCTGAGGCCTCCCTATGGCAGAACAGACAGACCTGAAGATGGTGGTCTACAGTCCCTGGCAGAGGCCCCACCTCACATATGGACAATTACTGGATTGGCTTCCTCACTTGGTAGCTTAGCAGTATTGTCATTTGCTGGTATAAGACATCACCTGCGTCCTGGGCTGGGAATAGTCAGGAGGAGCATCAGTGGGGAGCCTACCCCACTCCTGGCTGCCCACAAAGACTTCTCAGGTGGGAAAGACACCAGAGAGTGTGGGGGCCATCGAAGATTTCTCCAGGTGTGTCTGGGTTGGGGAGAGATGTGGTAGAAAACCATCTTTTTATTTATTTATTTTTTTTTGTCGGTCCTGGTGCTTGAACTCTGGGCCTGGGCGTTGTCCCTCAGCTCTTCAACTCAAGGCGAGCGCTCTACCACTTGAGCTACAGCGCCACTAGAAAACCATCTTTTTAAAAGAATTGCTTTTTTCTTGCGCCAGTTCTACGACTTGTTCTCAGGGTTTTGTGTTTTTGCTTGGCTTTTTTTGCTCAAGGCAAAAGTTCTACCGTTTTAAGCCACAGCTTCACTTCCAGCTTTTTGGTGGTTGAATGGAGATAAAGAGTCTCATGAACTTTTCTGCCCGAACTGGCTTCAAACTGTGATCCTCAGATCTCAACCTCCTCAATAGCTAAGATTATAGGCATGAGCCACTGGCACCTGGCATAGAAAACTACTCTTTTTAAATTTTTAAAATTTCTTTTGTTACTGTAATGGTAATATACAAAGGGATTACACTACATAAGTCAGGTAATAAGTACATTTCTTTGTGGGCAATGTCACCCCTTCCCTCACTCTCTCCCAGTTAGAAAACCATTCCTGATGAATATAGTTTAAAATCTTTTTTACTATGAAATACAGGAGTTGCTCCCTTCCCCATTCCTTTTCCTTTCCCTCTCTTCCTTCCTTTTTCCCCCCTTCCCTCTTCAAGACTCCAGCCTGGTGCACATAGTGTGTAAGACCTGAAGAACTCAGACTGGTGCCACAGATAATTACCAAGGGGTTGAATTGCTTTCCCTCCTCTGTCTGGGACATAGGGTGGCTGTTGTGTCTGATTGTCTCCTCCAGCACAAGGTTGGTTGAAGCAAGTGGATCTCAGTGACTTTCTCAACAAGGGAAGCCCTGGGGCTGCAGACTTAATTGACAACACGTTTTGAGACAAACACAGAATCAGCTGATTCTTCCAGGCGGATCACCTGACCACAAGCCAGGCTGTCCAAAGTGAATCACCAGCAGCAAAACACACCATCCTGTTCGTTCATCCAGGGCCTGCTCTCTCGTCTCTGAAATTTTTTATTTTATTTTAAAATACAATTTATGTTCATGTTCAAAAATTCTTTCTAGCCGGGTGCCAGTGGCTTATGCCTGTAATCCTAGCTACTCAGGAGGCTGAATTCTGAGCATCACGGTTCAAAGCCAGCCTGGGCAGGAAAGGCCATGAGACTCCAATTAACCACTTAGAAAACTGGAAGTGGCGCTGTGGCTCAAGTGGTAGAGTGCTCACCTTGAGCTGAAGAGCTGAAGGACAGCGCCCAGGCCCAGAGTTCAAGCCCCACAACTGACAAAAAAAAAAAAAAAAAAAATTCATTCCAATGTTTGAATTCTTCCTTTGAGAATACTATTTTTTTTGGGGGGTGTGGGGGGGGAGTCCGGTCGTGGGGCCTGAACTCTGGGCTTGGGCGCTGTCCCTCAGCTCTTCAGCTTAAGGCTAGCGCTCTACCACTTGAGCCACAGCGCCACTTTTGGCTTTTTTCTTTTTGCTTATGTGGTGCTGAGGAATCGAACCCAGGGCCCCAGGCATGCAAGGCGAGGACTCTACCACTGAGCCACCTTCCCACCCCCGAGAATACTTTTTAAAAGCTAAGAAATCAACTACAGAGATCAGCTTGATAGGTTCCTGAAACCTCTAGACCCAGAGACACAATATACCTTACATATTTTATAGCCAGATGCAAATGGGTCTATAAGCCTTATTATATAAGAGGATAGGATCTAGAGGATTGTAGTCCAGGCCAACAATATCACTATCTATCTATCTATCTATCTATCTATCTATCTATCATACATACATTCATACATACATACATACATACATTTTATGTTATCAATGCAAGATATAAATTAACATACTACTTTCATTACCTCATTCACTATAACGCACAGTAAGATGTGGCTAAATTATGCAGTTGGAGTAGGCAGAGCAGTCTTTCAGCAAATTGTGGTACAGGCATAAATTGAAGTAAAGTGTTTAGTGGAATAAATAACTCATATGGGGGCTAGGAATGTGGCTTAGTGGTAGAGTGCTAGCCTTAAGCAAAAGCAGCTCAGGACAGTACCCAGGCACTGAATTCAAGCCCCAGGACTGGGGGAAAAACTCATAAAAAATAACTTAGAAGTCATGATCCAACTTTCTCTTATGTCTTCAGCTCATTCAGTGAAAGAAAAATATCTACATTTTTAAAACCTGACTGATCTGCAGTGGAATAGGCATTGGATTGTTCTGTTGCTTTTACCTCATTGTTTCTATACAAGAGAGGTTCTCTTTCTAGGTCCTGTCAGTCCGTTCTTTTATTTCCCTCATGCTAATAACTAATGATCTTATCATTGGTGTGGGTGGGGGGGGGGGGGAACTAGGGCTTAAACTCTGGGCCTCACATTCTTACTTGGCCTTTTTGCTCAAGGTGAGTGTTCTATCCCTTGAGCAACAGTTCCACTTATGTCTTTATGGAAGTTAATTGGGGATAAGAGTCTTGACTTTCCTGTGGTACAGTGGCCTGTGATCCTCAGATCTCAGTCTCCTGACTGGCTAGGATTACAGGCGTGAGCCACCAGCACCTGGCTAAGTAACACCTCCTTGAAAGCAGTTGTCTTGTGTCCTGAGTTGGTTTACTGGTGTTCATCTATATATCCCTGAGGAGCCAGGCGCTGGTGGCTCATGCCTGTAATCCTAGTACTCTGGAGGCTGAATTCTGAGGATCACAGTTCAAAGCCAGCCAAGGCAGGAAAGTCTGTGAGACTCTTATCTCCAATTAACCACTAGAAAACCAGAAGTGGCACTGTGGCTCAAATGGTAGAGTGCTTGCCTTGAGCTGAAGAGTTGAGGGACAGCACCCAGGCCCAGAGTTTAAACCCTGTGACTGACAAAAGAGAAAAAAAAAATCCCAGAGGAAATGCTCGAAGTTCACACTCTGGATCAGGTACCATAAAACTGCTGGCTTGGCATAAGACCAACATTAAATAAAAATCATATCAATGAATGTGTAGACACAAATTGTGCCAAGGGGGTCTTGGGCAAAGGGGAGAGGGTAATTCAGGGTTATAGGAATGCATAAAGGTGGAAACTGCCTGCGAGGAGTGGAAGAATGTCCTTGGGGACACTTTACAGGCTGTGATTGATTTGACTTGCGCTAGGTTTTAGGGGCTGAGGCACATATAATTACAGTAGTTCCTCTCTGTTGAGGTGGGGTGGGGAGACTGGGAGTATCTGTAGACTCACAAGTCACTTCCGTGGTGTGTTATTTATGCTTGCAATGTCTATACGGTCAGCACTTTAATTCATTTCTACATTACCTATATCTAATATGAACAATAGGTAGTTATCTGGATTGTTCCAGGCATAAAAATAAGTCTGAACGTGTAAAATACAGCAACAATGTAATGTTTTGTTTTGTTTTTCACTTGAACCACATCACTGCTTCCAGCTTTTGGTTGGTTCATTGGAGGCACTAAGTCTCCTGGATTTGACTGCCTAGGCAAATGCTTAGATCCCCGCGTCCAGAGCAGCGAGGATTGCAGGCGTGAGCGGCCAGCGTCTGCTGCGGTCAAGGTTCTGATGACCATTGGGGGTAGGGAGGGACTCTGGGGCTCACTGAGGAGCGGGCTGTGGAGGGTCGCGCGTGGGGAGTGGGACTCCCCAAGGCAGCTGCGAAGGCGGCCATGCTGCAGGAAGAAGTGCGGAGTGGCGCTGTGGCAGTCTTTGCTCTCTTCGGTCCCCAGTGCCCCCCGGACGGGGTTTAGCTGACAGCGGGCGGGAACGGTGGTCCCTCCAGGGTGGCCTCGGTTGCGCCCCCTCCCCTCCAGGACCCCATTTCCTCCGGCTTCGGGCCGTGCTTGGCGCGGGCCTCGGCGGGCTGCCCCGGTGGGTGTCCGCGGGAGGGCGGAAGCCGTCCGGGCTGCGCTGGCCGGTGGCCTCTCCCCTCCCTCTGCCCCCCCCCCCGCCCGGCCCGGCCCGCCGATCGCGCGCGCCCAGCGCGTGAGTGGAAGTCGGCGGAGCCGGCGGTATGGGCGGACGCGGTGCGGGGGGCGCAGCGGCGTCCATCGCCCCCGCTCACCCGGGGTCTGGGTAGAAAGGGGTGGAAGAGGAGAGACAGTGCAGAGAGCGCAGAGACTCGGAGGACGCCGGTGGACGTTTCATCTGTGACCCCGTCGGGGCCGGGGAAGAGCAGGTGCAGAGGCCGTAGGGGCGGCGCGCCCAAGCTGGCGGGATGGAGGAGTCCCGGGCTGGAGGGACCCAAGGTCCGGGACTGAGGACCAGCACGGGCGGTCACCTCCCCCCCGGCCGGGAGCCAGGCCCCCGCCGACCCCCGAGGGTGGCCCCGCCCCGGGCCGGGAGGGCGCCCCGAGGGGGGGCGGAGCTGTCGCCGCCCTCCCTCCCCCAACCCCGCGGCTCTTTCTTAAGCCCAGAGTCGGCGTCCTTAGCCCTTAGCCGAGGGCCACTCGTCCCTGGCTCTGGTCTCCTCCCCGCGGCGCGATGCCCTCATTGCTGAAGTACGTGTGCAAGCTGAAGACCGTGCTGATCTTGTTCTGCACCCCCATCCTGTTGCTGCCACTCATCTTGGTGGTCCCAGGAAAGGTCAGTCGCGCTCAGGACGGCCGGGTGGAACCCTGGCGCCCCACGACGTCCAGTAACGGGTCCTCAATGTCCAGTAACGGGCGTGGAGCAGGAACGCACGGATGCGCGGTGGGACGGCTCCCGCGGGGGCCCTGAGCACTCCGCGGCTGCGGGCCTGGCTGGGAATCCTGGGGTGCGGGGTGCACTGTCCCGGGGCTCACAGTCTCAGCATGTAAGAACGGTCCTGGCAAGCACGGAGATCTAGACGTGTGCCCCGAGCGTTACCACTCAGACCCCAGGCACAGATCAAGCTCTGACTGGGCCTCTTCCCCAGCCCCGTGCCCGCCTCCCACACCAGGTCAGGGACATGCAGGGAAAGGTGATCACCTGTGGCGATCCTGAGTCTCAGTTTCTCCAGCTAGAATCCTCCTTTCTTTCCAACTCAGAAACGAGCTGAAGCACATAAGAATTCAAACTCAGGATTCTATTCCTGTGTCGGGCTGAAAGGCTGGTATGGCTGGATCTGAGCTGCCGGCTGACGGGAGATGGTACATGTTCCCAGAGCTCACGCCTTGGGTGGCAAGATCCTGGCTTGCCATGCCCTGGCCTCCTGGCTCCTGGGAGGGAGGAGAGAATGAATGGCTTTGGCTGCTGGGCTGGGGCAGACTGGACACTCTGGCCTGGACTGTGCTGTGCTGTATACAGCCAGTTTGGCAAGGCCTGAGCCTTTGAAGTCTTTTGTGGCTGCTGGCTGCTGGCTGCTCCTTGCTCACTCCTGCGTTCAACCTCTTTCACCCTCCGCCCAGACAGGAAACCTCAGATCATACCTCCTTTCCCCAGGCAGGTTTGGGGAACAGAGAAACCCTTGAAGGGGACATTCTGAGAGCAGTCCTGCAAGAGAGGGCTACACTGGCATGCCAGGAAGCCAGCCTTTGAGATGACCAGACTTTACCATTCACACGGTCTCAGGATTCTTGCCAGGACCCAAGCGCTCTAATCTATACATGGGATGATCTGTACATGGGTTGAGACTTGGGGATGGGAGGGGTTCTCTGATGAGCTGAGCTGAGCAGAGTTCCCAGCAGGTCCAGTGGGGGTGCTTCTTCATCACCCTGAGATTTGAATCTGTCCTGTCATTGGGAGGGAGCCAGGTGAGAGCTGTGATTTCAGCTCCCCTGGCAGGGAACAATGTACCTTGTAATCATTAAAGTCATTTGGTTGACCTTTCTGCTCCCAGTGTAACTGAGACCCCTGCTCTTTCCCTGACACACATGTGTATGTGTACACACAAGAACTAGGTTACCAACCCAGATTATTAAGCTTCCCTGGGAATGATGAGGGTCAAGAGAGGGAAGAGAAGATCCAATGAGAGTCTTCCCAGAGACAATGCTCCAGCACTTTCCCCCAGAGTTCAGAGTAGTTAAGGACCCTGGTCCTTAACTTTCTGGGTTTCCCCGTCCCCCTTGTACTTCTGTTTTGGTCAGTACTGATGATCTCCCAGTCTCCTAAATTCCTTGCATGGAGAAGGAAAATCCAGAGGTGTACAGCAGAGTCAGGGAAGTCAACAGGAATGTGGCAGCCAGTTTGTCATTGTCACCAAGGATGGGAGTTTAAGGATACTGCCTACCCTCCATACTGTCCTGGCCATGCCTCTCCAGGCTTTTTTTCTTTTTTTTTTTCCTTTTTTTTTTGTTGGTCATGGGCTTGAACTCTGGGCCTGAGCTCTTCAGTTCAAGGCGAGCACTCTACCAGTTGAGCCACAGAGCCACTTCCAGCTTTCTGGTGGTTTATTGGCGATAAGAGTCTTATGGACTTTCCTGCCCAGGCTGGCTTTGAACCATGGTCCTCAGAATTCAGCCTCCTGAGTAGCTAGGATTACAGGCATGAGCCACCAGTGCCACGCCAGATGTTTTTCTTTACCTCCATCTATCCTACTTGTGATCTGGCCTCATCTCGCTTAACCTTTACTACCCTATCTCTAGTTCTCTCTTTCTCTTAAAATCATTAAAATAGAATAAGTGATAAATTCATTGTGTTATTTATTTTCTTAAATTGTAAACATGTGTGTGTGTATGTGTGTGTGTGTTGTGTGTGTGTGTGTGTGCGTGTGTGTGCCAGTACTGGGGCTTGAACTCAGGGCCTCATGTTCTTGCTCAGCTTCTCCACTCTTTAAGGCTAGTACTCTACCACTTGAGCCACAGCTCCCTTTCTGGATTTTTTTCTGGTTAATTGAAGAGTCTTATGACTTCTCTGCTGGGCTGGTTTTGAACTGTGACCCTCAGATCTTAGCCTCCTGAGTGCCTAGGATGACAGGTTTGAGCCACCAGCAGCAGGCTACTTAATTTTTATTTAAAAGTTGCTGATAGCTGGGTGCCAGTGGCTCACGCCTGTCTCCAATTAGCTGCTCAGAAAATCAGAAGTGGCACCCACGTTGTGGTTCAAGCGGTAGAGCATTAGCCTTGAGCTGAAGAGCTCAGGGACAGCTCCCTGGCCCAGAGTTCAAGCCCCACGACCAGCAACAACAAAAAAAGTTGCTCAAGACTTTGTGAGTTCCTCAAAATCTTCAAATTATAGACTATCACATGAATTAGCTCAGAGCAGAGCTAAGGACGGCAGCAGGAAAGGTAACTTATCAATGATATTATTGCATAGACACAGATTGATTTTCAGTAGTACTATTCAAAAATTCTCTCCAGTGCACTCTTATTCCCTGGAGGGGATCTCCCACTTCCCATCAGCTGATCTCCATGGCGTACCACAGCGACTTTGTGCCAGCAGCCATCCTAGGGGTAGAAGGAAAAGTTTCTCTCTGTCCTCAGAAGGTTTGTAGGTAAGAACTGTTCATAGATGAGGAAGAAGAAAGCTGAACAAGTCTATTATGGGATGGGAACAACCAGATTATAATTATCCAGGAGCACAGCACAAAGCTGAAGCTTCTATGCCGTTTTTCAAAGGAAAGATGTTGAGGAGTGGGGGGGGAATAGCAAAGCCTCTTTTTTATATGCGTGTGTGCCTGTACTGGGGCTTGAACTTGGGGCCTGGGTATTCTCCCACAGCAATTTCCACTCAAAGCTGGTGCTCTACCATTTGAATCACAGCTTCACTTCTAGCTTTTTGCTGAGTATTTGGAAATAAGAGTCTTGTGACTTTTCTGCTGGGTTGGCTTCAAACGACCACCTTCATATCTTAGCTCCCTGAGAGTACCTAGGGTTTCAGACATGAACCATTGGCTGGTGAAGAATGTACATCTTGTCACACTTTTTTTTTTTTTTTGTCAGTCGTGGGGCTTGAACTCTGGGCCTGGGCGCTGTCTCTGAGCTCTTCAGCTCAAGGCTAGTGTTCACTCAAGCCACAGAGCCACTTCTGGTTTTCTGAGTAGTTTATTGGAGATAAGAGTCTTATGGAGTTTCCTCCCTGGGCTGGCTTTGAACTGTGATCCTCAGAGCTCAGCCTCCTGAGTAGCTAGGATTACAGGCGTGAGCCACCAACACCCAGCCCCATGTCGTACTGTCTTATGCGTTCTCTATGGTAGTGATAAACAGGGCCAGGGGATAGTGACCAGGAATGGTTTTCTCAGCACAGTAATCCAAGCTGAACTCAGACAATGCCAGCTGATTTTTCATTTTTATTTTTTGTCAATCGTGGGGCTTGAACTTGGGGCTTGTATATGAGCTCTTTCACTCAAGGCTGGTGCTCTACCACTTTGAGCCTCAGCTTTACTTCCAGGTTTCTGGTGGTTAATTGGAGATTAGAGTCTCACAGAGTTTTCTGCTCACACTGGCTTTGAACTGCAATCAGACCACCAGCACCTGGACAGCTGATTGTTAAGTGCTGGCTGTATGTTGGGACTATGCTGGATGTCGAGGACAGGAGACTCTACAAATGCTATTCGTACCCTCTGGTGGCACACTGGCAGTGGTGGTGGAGGGAGACAGTCCAGGAAACAGTGACAATTCGTTGTGTTCATAGCTAGGGCACTCTGAGGACAGTCACAGACCAGACTGGGAGGAAAGGGAGGAGAGCAAAGAGGACTCTGAGCCAAGGCTTACCTCCCAGGCTAGGTAAGAGGAGACTGTGACAGGGAAGTACTTTGGAGCCACTGGGACCCTGAGTGGGAGTGGGCCAAGAGCACTGGGCTGCAGGGGCCAGCAGGGTCTGGTCTATGGTGCAGGGTCTTGCAATTACTGCAAAGGCAATGAATTTGGTCCTAAAGGCAATGCAGCATCCTTCCTTCCTTTCTTCCTTCCTTCCTTCCTTTCTTCCTTCCTTCCTTCCTTTCCTTTCTTTCCTTCCTTCCTTCCTTTTTTTGTCAGTGGTGGGGCCTGCATTCTGGGCCTGGGCTCAAGGTTAGCACTCTACCACTTGCACCACAGCACCACTTCCGGCTTTTTCTGCTTATGTGGTGCTGAGGAATTGAGCCTAGGGCCTCATACATGCAAGGCAAGCACTCTACTACTGAGCCACCTTCCCAGCCCAATGGCAGGATTCTTAAATTAGGAGTGGTATGATCAGATTTGCAGAATAGAAAGAGAGAAGTTGACTTGGGAGGATGGAAGCAAAAGATCAAATTAGAAGACAGTTACTAGGATTCAGGCAAGAGAAGATACAACGGCCTTGGGGGGTTATCAGCATACAAATTCTCTACAAATGTGAAGGTCTTAATTGGCTTTATTTAATTGTATCATTACAAGAGTTTGAATTCAGGTACTTGGGCTTGGAGTCAGGTCCAGGGTACTGTCCTTTAGCTCAAGGCTAGTGCTCTACCACTTGAGCTACAGCTCTACTTCTAGCCTTTCGCTAGTTAATTGGAGATGAGATGCGCAGGCTGGCTATGAAACACAACCCTCCTGTGTAGCTAGGATTACAGATATGAGCCACCAGAGCCTGGCAAATGGTTCTCTGTCTGCCTGTTTTCTTTCCTTCCTTCCTTCCTTCCTTCCTTCCTTCCTTCCTTCCTTCCTTCCTTCCTTCCTTCCTTCCTTCCTTCCTCCCTCCCTCCCTCCCTCCCTCTCTTCTTCCTTCCTCCCTCCCTTCTTTCCTTCCCTCCTTCCTTCCTTCCTTCCTTCTTTCCCTCCTTCCTTCCTTCCCTCCTTTCTTCTTCTCTCTCTTTCTCTGTCTCTTTCTTCTTTTTTCCTTCCTTCTCTCCTTCCTTCTTTCAAGGTTGGCACTCTACCACTTGAACTCTATTTCTTGGCTTTACTTTTGGCTCTAGATTTCAGCAACATATCCTGCTATTTAGTTTCCATAATTATTTCAATAATCTGAATACAATAAGTTTGTAGACAAAATGGCAGGAAAATAAAATAAAACCAAAAAAACCCCAAAATGAATTGGTCATTTAGAGGAGGCATTCCTTTTAAGGTGGGGACATGGAGCCAGGAAAATGGAAAAATACTGGTTAACTTCAGGGATACTCTTTCATAAGAACTAAAGCAGGAAGATCATCATTGTGATTGGGATTGAAGCTGGTCTGTTTAGACAATGTGATTCTTAATGTTTTTTCCTAATTTCTCCAGAAGGCCAGATAACAACTCACATTGGGTATGGTGACAGGGAACCTTAGCATGACCGACTCTAGTTTGATTCTTGTCTTTTTTGGGGGAGCCTGGTGCAGGTATCTGGTCTAAAATTATGGTCCTCTGAGGCAGGATAGTAAAGGTAAGGTGACAGGGGAGTTAGAAAATATATAAAAAGTTAAATTGGATTGGGAACCTTAGGACCATTAAAATAAGGCTGGAAAAAATCACTATGACTGTACTTTGAATCAACTGTTCAAAAATGAATTCTTTCCAAGGCCCTCTGTTTTCTTCTAGATATTAAATGAGAAGCCATGCCTTAGGGGAATAATGAGACTAAGACAGAAAATTGCCTAGTTTTTGTAAACCTGTGCCTGAGTGTCTAAAAAAGGATCCGAGCCAGGCTCCTGTGGCTCGTGCCTGTAATCTTAGCTACTCAGGAGGCTACCATCTGAGGATCACGATTCAAGACCATACCAATTTGAAGCCAGCCTTGGCAGACAAATCCATGAAACCCTGTTGTCCACTTAACCAGCAAAAAGCCGGAAGTGGGGATATGGCTCAAATGGTAGAGCACTAGCCTTGAGTGGAAAAGAAGAGCATCAGGCAGAACTAGCACAAAAATAAAACAGATAAAAAAGATCAAACGCACATGGTTCAATAACCTTTGATTAATTATAAGGCTAACCCACTCAGACTTGAGTGAATGTATTTAAACATGATAATTGGGAAGTTGATAGGAACCACATGCTGGGTTCTGGTGGCTCATGCCTGTAATCCTAGCTACTCAGAAGGCTGAGATCTGAGGATCACGGTTCAAAGGCAGCCGAGGCAAGGAACCTCCACGAGACTCTTATCTCCAATAAACCACTCAGAAAACCGGAAGTGGCACTGTGGTTCAAGTGGTAGAGTGTTAGCCTTGAGCTGAAGAGGTCAAGGACAGCGCCCAGGTCCAGAGTTCAAGCCTCACAACTGACATAAAAGAAAGAAAATTTAAATTGTTACTAGAAAGGTGCTGTACAGAGGGGTTACAATTTCATAAGTCACGTATAGGAGTACATTTCTTTTTGGACAATGTCACTCCTTTCCTTGCTCTCTCCCAGTTTTCCCCTCCTACCTTCACCCACAAGTTGTACAGTTCATTTCAACATAGTGTCCAGTCAGTACCACTGTTGCATTTGTTCACCCTTTGACTCTCCATTTCTTTTTTCTTTTTTTTTGCCAGTCCTGGGGCTTGACTCAGGACCTATGCACTGTCCCTGAGCTTCTTTTGCTCAAAACTAGTACTCTTATCACTTGAGTCACAGTGCCACTTCCAGCTTTTTCTGTGTATGTGGTACCGAGGAGTTGAACTCAGGGCTTCATGCATGCAAGGCAAGCACTCTATCACTAAGCCACATTCCCAGCCCCTCTCCCTCCATTTCTTTGCCTCCTTTGCCCTCCCACAGATGAACAAATGAACAAAAAAGACAAAAACAGAAACAAAAGCACCCTCTTCTATCCACATCCTGGAGTTCATTTTGAGAAATATTATTTTGTATGATCAGATGCACATAGGCATTGTGCCTTTGTGTTCCTCTCCTAAGAGTATCTTCTTTTGGTGTCTCTGTGTGGGAATGCCTAGAGTCCTGTACAATTTATCATGTCCTTGTGTATTTTAGATCTGGCTTCTGCATATGAGAGGAAACACAAGCTGTTTATCTCTCTAAATATTTTCCACATCTTAATAGGTGACAAGATTGAGGGCCGAGGTGACTTTTTAATCTATTCCAAGTGTCACAGTGGTTAAAGAACCAGGCGCTTCCTTAGATGACCAGCTCGGTCTCACTCCAGAGCTAAGACACTGATGGCTGAGTGATGAGAACAGACAGTTCACACAGGATCAAATTCAAGTAAAAGCTAGAGCCTTTTGTGGCTGGAGAGATACTGGCAAAACCACTGGGCATAGGTGCACCCAAATAAAACTAGAAAACCATAGTACCACTCAGTGGTGGTGATTTTCTGTCTGAGTTGGTTATGGGGATGGAGAGCGTTTGAGCAGCCCTCTGAGAAAGAAATAAGGTCTAGGTATGAAGAGTCTGAGGACATGCTTCAGAGAAGAAAGCATACTCTCACTCCTACAGCTGCAAGCAAAGAAGTGGTATGGTCAGTCTGTCTTACAGAAGACTTGCAGCTTTCCAGACAGCCAGAGTAACACTCTTGTAACTGTAGGAAGAAGTGACTATGGCAGAGTGGAGAAAAGGAGACAGGGTTGAAAGAGATCATAAAAAAGACTGTACTCTGTTTGCAAAATGAAGAGGAATAGTGCTTTCTTTGTGTGTGTGGGGGGGTATGTATGCATGTCCATATTGAGGCTGGGGCTTGAATGTAGGGGCCCAGGTGCTGTCCCTTAGTTTTTTTTTTATTCAAGACTGATATTCTATCATTTGAACTGTTAACCTCCATTTCCAGCTGTTTGGTTGGTATGGGAGATAAGAGTCTCATGGGCTTTCCTGCTTGGGCTGGCTTAGAACTTTGGTCCTTTGATCTCCAGACTCCCGAGCTTGAGCCACCAGTGTCTGGTTTTTCCTTCTGGGACAGGGTCTCACAATATATTCTAAGCTGGCCTAGAACTTGATGTGTAGCTCAGATTGGCAGTGAACTTGCCATCCTTTTGTCTCATCCTCCTGAATGCTGGGATTACAAGCATGTAGCATATATCCCTATTCCTGGCTGAAAGTGGCACTTCTCCCCCCCCTCCCCCCCCCCTTTCTTTTCTGCTCAAGGTTGGCACTCTATCACTTGAGCATATTTCCACATCTAGCATTTTGCTAGTTAATTGGAGGTAAGAGGCTGTCTCAATCCTCCTATCTCAGCCTTTGGAATAGCTAAGATTACAGGTGTGAGCCACCAGTGCCTGGCTAGAATTGTACTTCTTTGCAAAATGTTTTTTTTTTTTTTTTTGGTCAGTCATAGGGCTTGAATTCTGGGCCTGAGCACCATCCCTGAGCTCTTCAGCTCAATATGAGTGCTCTACCACTTGAGCCACAGTGCCACTTCCAGTTTTCTGGTGGTTCATTGAAGTTAAGATTCTCACAGACTTTCCTGCCTGAGCTGGCTTTGAACCATGATCCTCAGATCTCAGCCTCCTTAAGTAGCTAGGATTACAGGTGTGAGCCACGGCACCCAGCTGCAAAGTGTTTTTGCATAATTTTCAGAGTAGCTCACTCAAAAATGGCATTTTATTGTTTCCCTCCTTTTCTTCTTCTTCTTCCTCCTCCTCCTTTTCCTTTTCCTTCTTTTTTCCCCCTTTCCTTCTCTCCCCTTTCCTCTTCCCTTCTTCTTTTTACAGGTGACTTAATTCAAGGTTTGGAAGATACAAGAAGTTACCTGGGACCACAGAGCTGGGAAAGGGAGGGAGAGGAAAGTTGGGAGTGGGAACAGGAGTCTTGTGACTGATTGTTGGCCCTCCTAGATGGCTTGAGCCTGGTTTGCTCTAGTGGCAAACTATCCTGGCTGCCCTCCTGTGATGTGACAAAGGGGCTTGTGTCTGCAGGCTGTCAGATGTGCCTATGTCATCCTCCTCATGGCCATCTACTGGTGCACGGACGTCATCCCCATGGCCATCACCTCTCTCTTGCCTGCCTTGCTCTTTCCACTCCTGAAGATAATGGGCTCCAAGCAGGTGAGCAGACCCGAGGCATGGGGAGGGGAGGAGGTGACTTCTGGGTCTCCTGTGAGCACCTGTTCCTTCTTTAGGCCCCTCCCTGAGTGTCCTAGCTTCCTATGAAGGTGGTCACACAAGCCCCACTAGTAGATTCTTCTGGGTATGACATAGTCAACTCCAGGCTGTTCTTGAAATCAGCATGTGGTCAGCTTGCCAATCTCCAGGGCCTTGAGTGGAACCAGGCGCATGCTGATCGAGCCTTCCTGCTGCCATGCAGGTGTGTGTCCAGTATATGACAGACACCAACATGTTGTTCGTGGGCAGTATGATTGTGGCCGTGGCTGTGGAGCGCTGGAATCTGCACAAGAGGATTGCTCTGAAAACATTGCTCATAGTGGGAGCCAGGCCCACACGGTAATTATGCCTTTTCTTTGGCCATATGGCTCTGTGTGGCCTCAGGGCTGAGAGCTTATGACACCCGCTAGGCCACCCGCAGGGAGCAGGGCTGGTCCTAGGGTGGGTACGTTTCAGGCTAAGTTGGCAGGCCCAGGTGTCCAAGGGAACAGTAGGTGGACAGCCACAGTGGGTGGAGGTTTTCTGCATGTGGAAGAGACTGTCTGGAAAGAATTGTATACAGGCTCATGCCTGTAATCCTAGCAATTTAGAAGGCTGATATCTGAGGACTGGTGTCCAGAACCAGACCAGGCAGGCAAGTCTGTGAGATTATTTCCAATTAACCACGTAAAAAGCTTCAAGTAGAGCTACTGTTCAACTGCTAGAATGCCCGCCTTGAGTGAAAGGCTAAGGGACAGTGCCTAGGCCCCAAGTTTAATCCTCTAGAACTGGCACCATAAAACACAAGGAAACTGTAATTGCCAATTGGAAACCCTCATCTTGAACTTGCAAAGGGTAGGCCTGGCTCCCAGTTGTTCTGAGGAAATGAGGCAGTTGTGAGGAGGGGGTGTGCTCTAACTCTCCCTTTCCTCCCTCCTCACAGTCTGATGATGGGCTTCATGGGTGTCACAGCCTTCCTGTCTATGTGGATCAGCAACACGGCAACCACAGCCATGATGGTGCCCATTTTAGAGGCCATGCTGAGGCAGATGGAAATGACAACTGCAGCTGTAGAGAAGCCAACCGAGATGGAGGAAAGGGGCAGAGGCAGTGAGTTGCCAGGCCTTGGGCACAGCTTTTGTCTCTGTGGCTGGTCAAATGTTTTGTCTGTTTTCTTTTCCCTCCCTGACTCTTGTAGTCTTTTCTTAAACAGGCAAAGAGAACAATGTTTACAAAATACTGTTGTCACCAGTTTTGAAAATGCTATCATTGATCCAGGCACCTGTGGCTCACATCTGTAATCCTAGCTACTCTGGAGACTGAGATCTGAGGACAGAGGTTCAAAGCCAACATGGGCAGAAAAGTCCAGGAGACTTCTCTCCCATGAATGAGCAAATAGTCAGAAGTGGAGATATGTCTCAAGTGGTAGAAGTGCCAGCCTTGAGCAAAAAAACTAAGCAAAAGTGTCCTGGCCCTGTATTCAAGCCCCAGTACCAGCACACACACACACACACACACACACTTGCATTGTATAAAAGTCGGATCTTTAGTAAAACTTATTCTACTGCATTTCCATTCATAAACTCATGCAAGTGCACACACATGTGCATGTGTATGTGTGTGTGTGTGTGTGTGTGTGTGTGTACATGTGTGTACTGTACTGGTCTGAGACTTGAACTCACAGCCAGAGTATTGTCCTGACATTTTTTGCTCAAAACTGGAACTCTACTACTTGAGCAACAGCTCCACTTCTGGCTTTTCAGAGGTTAATTGAACATGAAAGTCTCACAGACTCTTTGAACCGTGATCATCAGATCTCAGACTCAAGTAGTTAGGATAACAGGCATCAAACACTGGGGTCTGGCTAGCACAGGCATCTTTTGAACACCTATTGGGAGTGACCCTGTGTGCTTCTTGTCCTGTTCCACTCCTGCCATCTTCAGAGAGGCCTTTTCTGACTTTCTTCTACCAGCCAGATACCCCCTGCCAGATACCAGATCTTAGACTTGGTGTCCTGTGCCTATTTTTCCCATTAGGCACAGAGCTCAGGGGCCAAGAGCACGATCTGTACAGGACCCTGCACAGAACAACTGAGAGCCCATGATTTCTAAGCCCCGGTGGCTCATGTTTGTAATCTTAGCTGTTCAGGAGGTTAAGTTGTGAGGCTTGAGATTCAAAGCCAGCCTGAGCAGAAAGTCCATGGGACTCTTATCTCCAATTAATCAGCAAAAGACTGGAAAGTGGAATTGTAGCTCAAGTGGTAGAGTGTCAGCTTTGAGGAAAAAAAGTTAAGTAAGAATGTTCTGGCCCTAAATTCAAGTCCTAGTACACACACACACACACACACACACACACGATGGATTAACAGTCCTGGGTTCTCACTAGACACACTCTAGCCACTGAGTCATGGAAACCAGTGCGGTAGGACTGCACACATGAATAGGCTCTTGTACAGATTGTCTGATTCTGGGGAAGCATTGACAAGTCATAAGCTACTCCTCAAGGCAGCTCAGAAAGAGAGAGAGCTTCACGGGAAGAGGGGCATTTGATATGGCTTCGATGTCCCCTAGGAAAGAAGGGACATATGTTTTAAGTTGCTGGATTTGAAGGGATCTTGGAAGAACCTTAGGGAATATGCTTGGGAAGGGACTAGAAAGACAAATGGAGCTTGTTCTTCACTTGGGGCTGGAGGCTGAAGAATGCACTCTCCCTGCCAGGGAGGGAATCTTGTCTTCAGGATCTGGAGCTGGCCAACTGGCTCAACTAGTAACTCTTTACTTGCCACAGGGAAGCAAGATAGCCACTCTGCAGAGAAGGCAATGTCCACGGAGAAAAAGAATATGTACAAGGCCTTGAACCTGTCTGTGTGCTACGCAGCCAGCATTGGGGGAACAGCCACGCTGACGGGGACGGGACCCAACGTGGTGCTTCTGGGCCAGATGCAGGAGTGAGTTGTGGCATACCTTCAAGGGGGAAAAAAAGTTGGCCTTGGGCTGGTGGGACCTACATACTTCTTTTCAGTGGGGTCCTGGAGCTGGCAGCCTGGCTCTGGGTGTAAAGATGTACCTCATACAGCCTGGGTCCTGGCACTCTGGGCACCATTGAGAAGCACTCAGAGAACCAGGGACCTGAGGCCAAAGGAGCTCATTCATGAGCATTGTAGGCAGCCTCTGCCTTGGCTCAGCGATTCCAGCCCAGACACATAGAGTGGATTGAGCATTGACCTCAAGTCAGAGATGACAGAAATGATAGAGTAGCCACTGATGCCTTGGTTAAAGATTATAGAAAATAGGGATAGGAACATGGGCTAGTGGTAGAGTGCTTGCCTAGCATGCATGAAACCCTGGGTTTCCTCAGTACCACATAAAAAGAAAAAGCTGGTAGTAGTACTGTGGCTCAAGTGGTAGAGCTAGCCTTGAGCAAAAGAAACTCAGGGGCAGTGCCTAAGCCCTGAGTTCAAGTCCCAGAACTGGCAAAAAAAAAAAAAAAAAGATTGTAGAAAATAGACATTTTTTAAAAAGTCCCAACCCAAGCTCATTAACATGGCTTGTTAATAGCTATCAATTAGCTGGGTGCTGATGGCTCACACCTATAACCCTAGCTACTCAGGAGGCTGAGATCTGAGGATCACAGTTCAAAGCCAGTGGGACAGGAAAGTCCGTGTAAGACTCTTCTCTCCAATAAACTACCAGAAAACTGGAAGTGGTGCTGTGGCTCAAGTGGTAGAGCACTCACCTTGAGCTGGAGATATGAGGGACAATGCCCAGGCCCAGAGTTCAAGCCCCACAACTGACCAAAAAAAATAGCTATCAATCTTTCTCTGAGTCTGATGCAGGTGAATTATACCTGTGAGGCTGAGATCTGAGGATCACAGTTCAAAGCCAACCTTGGCAAGAAAGTTCATGAGACTCTCATCCTAAATGAACTATCAAAAGGCCAGAAGTGGAATTGTGGCCCAATTGATAAAGCACCAGCCTTGGGCAGAAAAGCTATGGGACAGTGCCCCATAAATTATCCTATGATGTTAGGGGATGGGAAGGGGGAAAAATTATCCTATGATGTGAAAGAGGAGAATTGTCATTCACTCTTGTCTCATTCCAGCCCTTGAGGTAATAGATCCCTGTGAAGCCTGGGGTAGACCAGAAGGACAGTTTGGACTACAAAGGGACAGGGCCATAGGGTGCCATGTCTGGGCTCAGCTTTTTGCTGGATGGGGCTGGGGCTGTGACAGTTAGAGAAACCCTGAGGTTCTTCTGGTCTCCTGAAGGTGCCAGATACCAGGGAGCTCCAGACAGATCGGGTAAATAAATGTGTTTAAATGAGGTCTGTACAAATTTCAGTGGTTAGGAAAAAAAATAAAGTGGTGCCTGTCCTGTGCAGACAAAGATTCTGGGCAGGGCTGGTACAAGAGCTGGGGGTGGAAAGGACAGGCCTGCAGCCCAGCAAACCAGAAACTCCAAGTGTGGCAACCAGAATATGCTTTGGTCTTTTCTGTAATGATATCCTTGGGTTTTCCCTTTAAATTCCTCTATGGAAAGCAGCCCATCTAGCTGGGATGAGCAGCTTATGCTGGCAATCCTCGTTATCTAGGAGGCTGAGATGTGAGGATCCAGGTACCAAGGAAACATGAATAGGAAAGTCAGTAAGAGCTCCCACTGATCATCAAAAAGCCAGAAGTGGAGCTGTGGCGCAAGTGGTAGAGTGCCAGCATGGAGTGGAAAAAGAAAAGGGACAGTGACAGTCCCCAGGTCCTGAGTTCAAGCCCTCATACTGGCCCCAGAAAAAGCAGGTGGGCTGCTCTGGGTTTGCATTGACAGCTTTGAGCTAAAGCAGCAGCCCTGGGGGCTAGCAGAGACCCGAGGGGAGGCCTGGGTGCACCTTGCAATCCCATCCTGGGTGAGTTTTGAGCTTTGTCTTCAGGATGAGGATTTCCAGAAGCATTGATGGCTCCCCCTTTTCCCCCCTCCCCATCCCCCCCCCCCCACAGAGTCAGCCAAATGGCAGATACATGTGTGATGGGCACTTTCCTAAGAAGAAGAGCTACGCGTTTCATGAAATTCTCTGGGAGATCTGTATCCCACGAAAGGGTTATGTAGTTATGCCTTCGACTTCTCTTGGGTCACAGCCATATTCTGGGGTCACAGCTGGATATTGGGAGTACTTGGCTCTGATGAGAACCACCTCTCAGGGTGGTGAGCATCAGGGTGGAGGTTCAGGCCAGCGTCTCTCCTTGCAGATTATTTCCTAATAGCAAAGATGTCTTGAACTTTGCCTCATGGTTCGCATTTGCCTTCCCCAACATGCTGCTCATGCTGTCGTGCAGCTGGCTGTGGCTCTACATCTTTTACATGAGATCTAGGTAAGTATGAGCTGCCCTGTCCCTGCAGAAATCCTCAGTCTTTGGCCAGTCTGTAAAGCTCTTCTATCCAGCTCTGACTTTCTCTCAGACCCAGCTTTAATTCCTGCCCTCCAATTCCCAATACCCCAGGACTTGCCTGGACGACCATTTCCTGCCTTCTAACTGTACAACTTCTTATCCTTAAAGGCCAGGTCAAGAACTACTTTCCAAACTATCTCATCCCTAACCTTCTCTCCTCTTGGTGCCATCTCAGAAGACCGATGTTCTCCTCTGAGTTGCTCCTGGGCCTATCATAGTCCAGTACCTTGACACCTGTCTTGTGGTCCAGTGCAACCCTTTTCCCTTGACCAGCTTTTCTAAGACCTCTCTGCCCCTGCCCCTGGCATGTCTACTAGGTCAGAGAGAAAGAACAAGTGTGCCATCAATGTGGGTTGAAGCAATTAGAAGTGTTGCAAGTGAACAATGATGGATAAATGTCTTGTTGGCCACATGGGTTCATTAGGTCAGGCAACAGCAGCCCTGATATTGTCCAAGTCAGTCCAAAGTCAAGCCATGACCAAGGGCCTGAGGGTTTCCAGCAGGATGCATCCTGCAATGTTTGCCTTCCTTCCTGTTCCCAGCACCCTATCAAATTCACCCAGAGTCACCCTTGATAGAAGTCAGACTTTGGATGTGGGGTAGACAAATACCTTTTTAAAAAGAGTTGTAGCTAAGCACCAGTTGCTCACACCTGTAATCATAGCTACTCAGGAGGCTGAGATCTGAGGATCACGGTTCAAAGTCAACCCAAGCAGGAAACATTTGTGAGACTTTTATCTCCAATTAACCACTAAAAAGCTGAAAGTGGAGCTGTGGCTCAATTGATAGGGCTCACCAGCCTTGAGTGAAAAAGCTAAGGGACAGCACCCAGACCCTGAGTTCAAGCCTCAGTACCTGCACACACATAAACAAATGTTATTTTTAAACGCATAGATTTGTCTGTCACAAAGGTGATTGTGCTGCACCAGGATGGAAAGTATTCAACCAGGAGTGGAGGGTGTGTGTGTCATGCCTCATTTCCCAGGGAGCTGGAGTGGAGAAAAACCAGGGGAGTTGCAGAAGTACCTATGAACACCTGCCATTTCATAGGAGGTGGAAATATCAGTTTTGTTCTGGAGGAGGAACTGGTTTGAACACTGCCATTAAAAAAAACAGCTGTAGCCGGACATTGGTGGCTCACACCTGTAATCCTAACTACTCAGGAGGCTGAGATCTGAGGATCACGGTTCAAAGACAGCCTGGGCAGGAAAGTCTGTAACACTCTTATCTCCAATTGACCACCAGAAAACTGGGAAGTGGTATTGTGGCTCAAGTGGTAGAGTGTTCACCTTGAGCTGAAGAGTTCAGGGACAGCGCCTGGGCCCAGATCTCAAGCCCCATGAATGACAAAAATAAAAAACAAACAAACAAAGACAGCTGTATAACTGAATGCTGATGGTTAATACCTGTCAACATAGCTACGTGGGAGGCTGAGATTGGGAGGGATACAGTGTGAGGCCAGCCCCTTTCTCAACGGAGAGCATGACAAGGTGGTAAGCACCTGTTATCCTAGCTGTCTTGGGAACCTATCAGTAGATCTTGTACCTAGGTATGTGCATGGGGAGAAAGCCCATCTAAAAAATAACCAGTGAAAAGCAGAGCTAGAGGCATGGCTCAGTGGAGAGAGTACCTGTTTGATAAGCATCCTTAGTTCAAACTCCAGACCAGTCTGCTGCAGGTGGGCCTCTGGATCTTTGTTTTAATCAGTTGTGGGGCTTGAACTCAGGGCCGAGGTGCTGTCTCTGAGCTTTTTCACTCAGGGCTAGTGCTCTTTCACTTTGAGCTACAGGGTCATTTCTGGTTTTCTAGTGGTTAATTGGAGATAAGAGTCTCACAGACTTTCTTCCCAGGATGGCTTTGAACCATGATCCTCAAATCTCAGCCTCCTGAGTAGCTATGATTACAGGAGTGAGCCATAGGTGTACAGCTCTCTGTGTCTTTTTAAGTAACAATGACTGGCAATTTATTAAGCTTATTATGTAGTAAGCACTGTACTCTACATTGAGATATTTATTTACTTATTTTTATGCTGGGACTGGGGCTTGAACTCCCTGGGCTTTTTCACTCAAGGCTGAAACTCTACCCCTTGAGCCCCAGCTCTACTTCTGGCTTTTTGGTGGTTAACTGGAGATAAAAGTCACCTGGGCTAGTTTTGAACCATGATGATCCTCACCCTCTTGAGTAACTAGGATTACAGGACTGAGCCACCAGCATCCTATACTTAGGAACTTGAACTTGAAAGCAGCCTGTGATGTATGTACTACTCTTGTTATTCTTGCTCTTTACAGACAAGGCAACTGAAGCCTGGAAAGGTTCTGGGGCCTACACAGGGTTAATAAATAGCATGGGGGTGAAGGCATGAGGTTAGAGCCAAGACATTTCTGCTCCAGAACCTGTGTCCCACAATCCTCATTTCACCCATCGTCATCTAGGGAGGCTAAGGGTTATTTGTTAGACAGACCAGGTGCATTCACACTAGTTGTGGCTTCAGGGTTTCCCGAAAGTCTGAAGGCCAAGTAAAAAGAGGGAACTGGCTGGACAAGATAGCCACAAGGGCAAGTGGAGCTGTGGCTTAAGTGCTTGATCACTAGCCTTTAGCAAAAAGAGCTAAGGGACAGCACCCAGTCCTACTACTGGCTGGCACATGTATGTACACACACACACACACACACACACACACACACACACACACACACACACACACACACACACACACTAAAAGACCACAAGGACATCATCAGCCTTCTACCGTGCAGCCAAGGTTAGATACCAAGCTCCTGAAAACTCAGCCAAGAACCAGCAGCTGTGGTTCCTGTGCCCAGCACAGCCCACATCAGCTCCCCTGGACTATCAGGGAGCCATGCCTCCATGGAACTTGGAGAGCCTGGCAGGGCAGCTGCCTGCCCCACATCTGCTGGATATGCCATTGTAGCTCAGAAGCAGAACAGAGCATGGCTCACACATAGCCTCATTTCAGTTCCAGACCTGGAAGGTCGGGGATAGCATTTAACACTCCAGTGAAATATGGACCATTCCAAGGCCTACCATATGCCAGGACTTGATGATCTGCTCCATCTCCTGATGGTGCCTCCTAAACACCATCACCCGAGTCCAAGGAGCACATGTCTGCCCACAAGGGAGCACCCCTGCTTGCATTGTGTTTGCTCTCCCATCCTTTATTCTGATGGTGTGGAGAGCCATGTCAAGGCCTTGACTGCTGGCCCAGTCTGTAAAAACTGTGTCTTGACTTCTAACCCAATCCAGAAAAATTGTGTCTTGGCTTCCAACCCAGTCTGGAAGAAATGTATTTATGAATAGGTTCCTAGACTACATTTGGCCAAGAGGGCCAGAGATCCCCGCTTCAGATGACCTAGGATGACATGGGAGACACCAACAACCCACACCCAGAATGAGGCAAGTGTTCTTCCTGCTGGCTCTTGCCAACTCCTGCCATGGGGGAGACACACGGGGGCTCTGGGACCCCCCTTCTGCTCTGCCTGACTCTACAGCAAGCCCAGGGCAAGTCCTCTGATGCATTCAAGTGATGGCCATTAGGATGCAGGAGGACACTTTGGTCCCCACACAAACTCCAGGCCCCCCATTTGCCAACTGGATCCATTGGCCAGTGTGCTGCCTGATGACATGGCAGTCACCAGGTGAAATGAACCCAGGAATGAGAGAGAAACTGTTCAGTGCCATGAGTGATGGCATTATGAGGGCACCCATGGGAACCAGTATTGACCACCACACAGCCATGGCAGCTTGTGTCATTGCTGCTATGCCGAGGATGCAGCACCAGCACCAGACAAGCTGGGACTCACACGGCCTGTTCCACCTGAGCAGATGGGACCAAGGAAGAGGTCTTTCTCTGCCTTGGATGGCTCCAGAGTCTGTGCTGTTTGAGGCCCTGCCCTGCTGCCAGTCATCTAGGAGATCTCCTCTTCCTCTTCTTTCTCCTCTTTTTCTTAATCTTTTTCCTTCTCCTCTTCTTCCTCCTCCCTCCTCCCTCCTCCTGCTCCTCTTCCTCCTCCTCCTCCTCCTTCTTTGTTTTGATTCCAGTACTGGGGCTGGGTGCTGCTCTTTAGCTTTCTGCTCAAGGCTGGTGTTCTATCACTTGAGCCATGCCTCTGGGGTGTGTGTGTGTGTGTGTGTGTGTGTGTGTGTGTGTGTGTGTGTGTGTGTGTGTGTGTGTGTGTGTGTGTGTGTGTGTGTGTGTGTGTGTGTGTGTGTGTGTGTGTGTGTGTGTGTGTGTGTGTGTGTGTGTGTGTAATTAGAGATTAAGAATCTCTACTTGGGGCTGGCTTTGAACTGGGCTTTTCAGATCTTAGCCTCCCTAGAAGCTAGGATTACAGGCATGAACCACTAGCACATGGTCATCTTAGAAACTTTAAGGGCTGTGCAGGGGCATAGGGCTCAGGTTTCCTGGTGAATGAGGACCTTGATATCCCATACCGGAAGGGCCTTGCCCACACCTAGGATGTGGGCATACAGTTCTACCATGTAGCCTCATTTCCTGACCCCTGCATACCCAGGATTCTGATGCCACCATGCTGCCATTTCCCTGTGTCAATGATGACAAGGAACATGGCTCTGGAAATCAGCCCCTGTTCCCCATTCCATTTGCCCCAGTCTTCCTGTACATTTTGTCTTTTACCCTGGAAGGGCTAAAATTTTGCAGGCTGGGCTCCATGACTTGGGAGCAGCCTGTCTCTGGGTTGACCAGTAGGGTGATGGACCTCTTTTGCTAGTGATGATGCCTTGATTCTGTTTGTTTCTGTATCTATGTCTTCCTGCCCATTTCCCTGTTCAGCTCAGCCTCTTATCCTCCCACAAAACCTCCCTCGGCCTGCCTCTTATCCCTGATACCTGGCTGATCTCTTCTGGGAATACCCCTAGTTCTGGAAGCACCCTGGTACCATCCATGCGACCGTCAGCCAGCTCTATTGTTTCAGACATGGTGCCATCAAAGGGAAGAGGACGAAGGAGGGCGAAACAGCAGCCTACCTTGTGCTAGAGGAGGAGTACCGTAAACTGGGGGCCTTGTCCTTCCCCGAGGTCAGCGTGATGCTGTGCTTCCTCCTGCTCATCGTCCTGTGGTTCACCCGAGACCCTGGCTACATGAACGGCTGGCTGTCCATTGCTTGGATAGAAGGGGAGAAGAAGTGAGTTATTTGTGTAGCCAGAGTCCCAGACTTAGCTCTCTGAGACAGGTGGGAAGGGAAGGCCAAGTTGGGCTCTTTGGAGCTGGGTTTTAGAGAATGTCCTGCTGACTTTATGACTTTTGTTTGTTTGTTTGTCCTGGGGCTTGAACTCAGGGCCTGGGCACTGTCCTCGAGCTTCTTTTGCTCAAGGCTAGCACTCTACCACTTGAGACACAGAGCCACTTCCAGCTTTTTCTGTTTATGTGGTACTGAGGAATCAAATCCAGGGCTTCATGCATGCTAGGCAAGCACTTTACCACTAAGCCACATTGCCAGCCCATGACTTTTTTTTTTCAATGTTGAGCATCAAATCCAGGTCCTTGCAACATGCTAGACAGGTCCTCTAGCACTGAGCTATCTACCCCAGCCTTTATGACCCTATTTTTTTCCCCCTAATATTCATGATGAGACTGCAGGCAGATGTAGTTGATTGTGTGGTACCCTCTTCTCTCCAAAACAACTGAGCAGAAAAGGCTCAGCAAGTATCATGGCCAGAGCCCTCTTGCAGGGTTCATAGTCTAAGAGTCTACTGCTCTTAGTTTCTCCCTTACTATCATTTGTGTGTGTGTGTGTGTGTGTGTGTGTGTGTGTGTGTGTGTGCGCGCACGCGCACTGGTACTGGGGCTTGAACTTAGGGCAAGGATGTTTTCCCTTAGGTTTTTTTTTTCTCTCAAGACTAGTGCTCTACCACTTGAGCTATACCTCCACGTCCAACTTTTTGCTGCTTAATTGGAGACACAAGTCTCATGGACTTTCTTGCCTGGGCTGGCTTCAAACCTCAATCCTCAGATCTCAACCTTTTTTTTTTTTTGGTCAGTTGTGGGGCTTAAACTCTGGGCCTGCGCACTGACATCTCAAACTTCTAAGTAGCTAAGATTGTAGGCCTGAACCACCAGCCCTAGTGGATATTTCTTTTTGTAGGAGCATTTAGACACAAAGGTGCTAGAGTTAGGCTGGGTGTGTTGAGTGATTTTTCTAAATTCCTCTGTGCTTTTTCCTGCCTAGGTATTGCACAGATGCCACAGCAGCTGTCTTTGTGGCTGTCTTGCTATTTGTTTTTCCTTCAAAGATGCCCAATTTTAACATCTTCAACAAGTCTGAAGCAGGTGAGGCTCCTGGCCTTCCCTCGAGAAGAGTCCTCATAAAGAGGACTGATGTATGGAAGAACACCAGGAGATGACTATTTTCAGCCCAGTGGTGATGTATTTAGAGCAAGTTCTCTTCCTTTTTAGACAATTGGATTCGTGCCTATAGTACAGCAGGGACAGAGTGTGTTTCAATTTTCCCATCATGACATAAATATTTTTCTCCCTCTCCTGTTTTGTTTTGTTTTTGGGTCCGGTCATGGGGCCTGAACTCTGGGCCTGGGAGCTATCCCTCAGCTCTTCAGCTCAAGGCTAGCGCTCTACCACTTGAGCCACAGCACCACTTCCGGCTTTTTTCTTTTTGCTTATGTGGTGCTGAGGAATCGAACCCAGGGCCTCAAGCATGCAAGGCAAGTGCTCTACCACTGAGCCACCTTCCCAGCCCCCCCTCTCCTGTTTTTAATATGCATGTGTATTATATACTTATAAGTAAAGAAGTTTGAGGCCCCCCCTTTTTTTCCCCTTGCAATCTCGATTGCCTTGATTGGTAGAGGCTGTGTTTTTTGTTTTTTTTGTTTGTTTGTTTTTTGGTTTTTGTCAGTCGTGGTGCTGTCCCTCAGCTCTTCAGCTCAAGGCGAGTGCTCTATTACTTGAGCCACAGCGCCACTTCCGGATTTCTGGTGGTGAATTGGAAATAAGAGTCTCACAGCCTTTCCTGCCCAGGCTGGCTTTGAACTGTAATCCTCAGATCTCTGCCTCCTGAGTAGCTAGGATTATAGGCATGAGCCATCGGTACCCAGCTAGAGGCTTGTTCTTTAACACTTGAGCCACACCTCCAGCTGGAATTTTTACTAATTATTTTGGAGATGGAGTCTTATAGACTTTTCTGCCTGGGGTAGCCTCAAACCATGATCCTTCAGTTCTCAGCTTCCTGAGTAGCAAGAATTTCCAGGTGTGAGCCACTGGTGCTTGGCTTATTGTTTTGCCTTTTGTTTTGTTTTGTTTTGTCGGTCATGGGGCTTGAATTCTGTGCCTGAGTATTGTCCCTCAGCTTTTCAGCTCAAGGCTAGCACTTTACTACTTGAGCCACAGTGCCACTTTCAGTTTTCTGGTGGTTAATTGGAGATAAGGGTCTCATGGACTTTCCTGCTTGGACTGACTTTGAACTGTGATACTCAGATCTCAGCCCCTGACTAGCTAAGATTTCAGATATAGCCACCAGTGCCTGGCTATTTATTTTTTTCTTCAACTCTAATAGCATCGTATTACGTGGAGAGGCTTGTGACCATTTTTCCTGCTATGAAATATTTTGGTTGCTTCTGGGCACAAATTTCAATTCCAAGTTATAATGCTCTCAGCAGATGAGGTAACAGCCGGCAGTGGGTACAATAGTGACTGTAAAGCTTAGCCACTGTAGAAGTATGGGCTGGAACTTCATTAACGCTATTGATTTTATTTCCCCTTGGTGCTATCTTTTTTTGTTTTCTCATCCTGCTCTGAATTATGTGGTTGTGCTTTTTCTTCTCAGACAAGAAAACCCCATTTTACCCCCCAGCACTGCTGGATTGGAAAGGGGCGCAGCAGAAAATCCCTTGGGGCATTGTGCTGCTCCTTGGGGGTGGATTTGCTCTGGCAAAAGGATGTGAGGTAACTTCCCCAGCCAGGACCCTCTTCCAAAGCTGCCATATCCTCCTCCCCCAGGGCTTACCCCTGGGCTGTCCATGGCCACCGAACTGCATGTTCTTTGAGGACAGAGCTCTGTTTTGTCATTGAAGATCCCTGAAGCACAAACAGTGCCTGGAAGGGAGAGAGCACTGGCAAGTGATTGAAGGCATGTGTGGAGAAGGGGCGAGGCAGGAGAGGTGGGGGACACTGTGTGCCGTTCATACATCCCATCCATTCAATGTATCAATTCATCCAGCTATTTCATCTTTCTATCCACCCATGCATCCATCTACCCATCCATCCATTCATCCATACTTCTTTTATCTGTCTACCCACCCACCTACCCATCCATCCATTAGCCCACCCTTCTATCTTTTCTCCTTTCCTCCCTCTTTCTCTCCCTCCTTCCCTTCCTCTTTCCTTTGTGGTCCATGATAATGACCTCTGCTTTGATCTGTACTGGGCCTAGACAATCTTTCTTTCAAGTCCACAGGAGTATTTTCACCATTTTCTTTGGTTCTCTAATGGCCTCAGAATTTCAGAATATTTCTTTAGTATCAGAGGAGGAGACAGCCTCGGGGCTGATACTCATAACTTTCTATATTTCCCTTCTTTCTTCATGGGGAAGAAAGGAGACTTCTTAGTACCGTTATCATCCAACCATCCATCATCTATTCATCCATTTATTTCATCGATCTATCCCTTCCTTCCTTCCTTCCATCCATTTACCATCATCTGTCTATCCCATGCATCCATCATCCATCCATGCATCCATCATTCCCCTCATGCATCCATTTCTTCCTTCCATCCAGCCACTCATCTCTCTCTCTGTCCATCCATTTCATGCATCTGTCCACCCCATTCATACATCCCATCCATTCAATGTATCAATTCATCTAGCTATTTCATCTATCCATCCACCTACCCATCCATCCGTTCACCCATACTTCTTTTATCTGTCCACCCTCCCACCTACCCATCCATCCATTAGCCCACCCTTCTATCTTTTCTTCTTTCCTCCCTCTTTTTCTCCCTCCTTCCCTTCCTCCTTCCTTCTTTCCTTCCTTCCTCAGAATATAAGAGCTTTCATCTATCTTGTGTTCATTATTTCATCAAAGCTAGGACAGAGCCTAGTGCATAGTGGATGTATACATAATTTCTTCTGTGGTGCTGTGTTTCAAACCCAAGATCTCAACATGCTAGGCAAGCATGGTATTTTCACTCCAGTACCATTTTTTGAATGAACAAATCCATCCATGTAGTCATTCATGCATCAACTTACTCATTTCTCCATCTAGCATATTTTTCCATGCATCATATGTTTCTATTATGTCCCTAGTGTTAGGCTAGACACAGATTTTATTTTAATTTAATTTAATTTTATTTTTACCAGTACTAGGGCTTGAACTCATGACCTCTCACTGTCTCTGGGCTGCTTTTGCTCAAGGCTAGCACTCTACCACTTGAGACACAGAGCCACTTCCAGTCTTTTTCTGTTTATATGGTACTGACGAATCAAAACCAGGTCTTCATGAATGCTAGGCAAGCACTCTACCACTAAGCCACATTCCTAGTTCCAGACACAGAGATTTTAGAGATTGAGACATGGCTCTTGTTTTTGAGGACTTTTGGCCTAGGAAGGAGATGTATCTGGAAGGAAATTTCCAGGAAGAAGTGACACCAGAGCAAGGGGAAAGTATTAAGGTAGTATGTCGCTGAGGCATAGTGAAGCTGATGAGACCACCACAGACATTTCTCTGAGGGCCTTGTTGCTGGAGAGTAGGTATGGACCTGATTCTGGAGACCATTGGGAGCCATTAAAGGGCAGAGGCCCAAAAATGACTAGGTCAGACCTGCACCTGAGAATAATCACTCTAGTTCCTAGAATAGAGGCCTGGGGCTGGCAGGGATGGGAGGGGGAGAAGAAAGTGAATGCTTGCTTGTCTTCTTCATCTTACTCAGTCTCAGAATGTTGGGTTCTACAGGCTGTCCTCTCCTTAGCACCTGCTACCCCTCCCCACCTTCCCCACCTTCGCCTCCTACCTTCTTTTTTACTCTGTTCAGCTTCTTTGACTTTTCCACAAATTTCATGCCAATACTGGAGCTTGAAATCAGGGCCCGAGAGCTGTTCCTGAGCTTTTTTTTTTTTTTTTTTCTCAAAGCAAGCACTCTATCACTTGAACCATTTCTCCATTTCTGGCTTTTTCCTGATTCAGTGTAGATAAGAGTCTCATGGACTTTCCTGCCTGGCTGGCTTCTAACTTAAATCCTCAGATCTCAGCCTCCTGAGTAGCTAGGATTACAAGTGTGAGCCACGGCACCCAGCTTTTCCTCTCTTTTAAATATCACTGGTTCTCCAGGGCTCTTCCTGTGCCCAACGGCCTGCTTAACTTTTAGTCTCTCTTAGGACAAGCTCTTCTCAGCATAAAATCTCACGTGTAAATCTTCCATTTGGGCCCCACATCATTCCTCCTAAGTTTCAGTAACTATGGGAGAATGAGAGGAGATGATGATGAGGGCTATTTGGAGTGACTTGGCAACCAGCTGGGGGAGGGGGGGAGGGGGGAGAGGGGGAGGGGGAAGAGGAGGAGGAGGAGGAGGAGGAGGAAGAGGAGGAGGAGGAAGAAGAAGAAGAAGAAGAAGAAGAATATAATCCTCCAGGGAATAATACGTGCAAGAGAGAAAGGGCTGAGCAGAGAGCAGGCTGGACCCTTTACCCTACCTCCTCCCCCGCCCTCCTGGGAGAAACTGCCAGCTGAAACAACATCCCTCCTGTGTGTCCAGACCTCAGGCCTCTCTGAGTGGATGGGGAAGCAGCTGGAACCCGTGGGGGTACTGTCTCCAACCCTCATCACCTTGGTCTTGGCATTACTCGTGGCCATGTGTACTGAATGCACAAGCAACGTGGCCACCACCACCCTGTTCCTACCCATCTTCGCCTCCATGGTAAGTGGCCCTGTGCTGGGGAGGGGGAAGATGTCAACCTTGCGTCCATGTCCTGGGTACCCTAGAATGGCAGTAAAATTGGCTCTGGCTGGTGGTCTTGGGTACCCCTGCTCTCTGATCCCCCAGTCCTTGCTGCTTTTCCAGTTCTTTCTTGGTGGCCCCACTACTGTCAAAGAACTAAACATGGACTAGAGTTAATGTAAAATCAAAATGGATTGTTTTCCAAGCTGGGGAGCCTTGTGCAGAGGAGGAAGGGCCCATACTCTGGTTGCTGAGTGTGCCACTAAGGGTGCTGGGGCCACCCACCCATTGGGAGCCACAACCTCAGACTTGTTTGTACCTCTTTACTTGGCAATTTCCTGTCTGAGACTGTATCTTAGGAAAATAATTAGTGAAGCCTACACACATATACAGCAAAGACTTACTTTTTAAAAAATATACTCTTAAGAATAACAGACTGGCGGAACAAATCATCTGTTCATGTGTGATACCAACAGAGCAAAGAATCTTGCTTTTCACTGGGCATGGCAGTGCATGCCTGTAATACCAGCACTCTATTGCTTCAAGTAGAAGGGCAGAGCATTCAAGACTAGGACCCCAAGAAGAGGAAGGGGAGGTAGAGCTTTGGTTGGAAATGGGAAAGAATATTCTGGAAAGATGGAGCATCTCTGTGGAAGCGGTGGAAAGCTTCTGTAGCTTACAGCAGGGTTGCAGTAGAGGGACTGGTTGCCTGGTTGTCTTGCTAGAGGGGACAGATGGGGAGAGACAGCAGAGCACAGAAACAAGTCAGTTTCCATCTAGCTATTTGGGTGGCCATATGCATAAAGAGCAAATCTAGAGGCAGGCTCTGGTGATGCTCACCTATAATCTATAATCTACTCAGAAGGCTGTGATCTGAGGATCACAGTTTAAAGCCAAGCCCAGGCAGGAAAATCCATTTGATTGTTTTTCTTCAATTAACCAGCAAAACGCCAAAAGTGAAGATGTGGCTTAGGTGGCAGAGCACCAGCCTTGAATGGTGAAACTAAGGGACTGTGTCCAGATCCTGAGTTTAAGTCCAAGTATCAACAATGCACGCTCAACAAAACAGCCCTTGGGTGCTTGAGATAGGAGGATAAAGAATTCAAGACTATACAACGAGGGTGGGAATTTGGCTCAATGGTAGAGTGCTTGTCTAGTATGCATGAAGCCCAGGGTTCAATTCCTCTGTACCACAGAAACAGTAGCTGGAAGTGATACTGTGGTTTAAGTGGTAGAGTGCTAGCCTGGAGCACATAGAGGCTCAGAGACAGAGCCCAGGCCCCTAAGTTCAAGCCCCAGGACCAGAAAGGGAAGAAAAAAACTATACAGCAAGACTCAAAGGAAAAAGGGAAGAAATTAAAAAAAAAAAAACAACAAGGAAAATCAGGCTTGATGTTGTAAAGATTTTTAAAAGTCACAGCTTGCAAGTATGTTGGCAAAATGAGAACATGTTTGTGCTGTTATTCCAGCTGAAACGGTAATATAAGCCGGGCGCTGGTGGCTCACGCCTGTAATCCTAGCTACTCAGGAGGCTGAGACCTGAGGCTCCCAGTTCAAAGCCAGCCCGGGCAGGAGAGACCGTGAGACTCCTATCTCCAATAAACCACCAGAAAACCGGAAGTGACACTGTGGCTCAAGTGGTAGAACATTAGCCTTGAGCTGAAGAGCTGAGGAACAGTACCCAGGCCCAGAGTTCAAGCCCCACGATCAACACAAAAAAAAAGAAAGAAAAGAAAAAGTAATATATTCGCACTGCCTTAAAAACAAGTCTGTTGACACAAAGAAACACAGACACACTAATCCTCCAGACTGCTCTCCAGAGATGACCTGTTACTAATTTCTCAGGGATCTAGTACACATTCACACTCTCTGGTTAAAGGGATGATTCTGTGGATGCTACCAAGTTCTTCTTTATAGCTGCATAATATTCCATTTTTATAGATGCCTTTTTTGTGTGTATGCCAAAACTGGGGCACCAGGCCTGAGTGCTATCCCTTATTAGTGCTGTACCATTTGAGCCACAGCTTGATGTATGGCTTTTTGGTTAATTGGCAAGAAGAGTCTGCGTGGGCTGGTTTAGAACTGCTATCCTCAAATACCAGCCTCCTGAGGAGATAGGAATACAGGTAAGGAGGTAGAGTTGCCAGCACCCAGCCAATATACCACTGGGTCTTATTTCCTGTATTTTGCTGTTACATTGTTTTAAGTGAACATTTGCTTATGTGTTGGACCTCTTTTCCATGGAAATATGCACGCAAACGATGCATTGTGTTTTACAAATTATTTATTCATTCATCTATTCAACAAATATCTAATGAGTACCTGGTCTGTGTTCATAGAGTGCACTGAGCTTTAAATGTAGAATGGAAAAAAAGGTGAATACTGAATTCTAGATGCAAATGAACACAAATGTAAATAAAAACGCATCCACTCATACAGACGAGCATAGAGGAGAAGATTAGGCCCACCCTCTAAGAGGCTTCCTCATTGTGATTGACAGACAGACTGAAAGACAGATTGCAAGATTCAGCGCAACTGAGCAATTTGGTATGCTGTCTGACACATAGAAAGTGCTCCCAAAATTGACTTTGAAGCTGGATGCTGGTGGCTTATGCCTGTAATCATAGCTTCTAAACAGGCTAAGATATGAGGATTATGGCTCAAAGCCAGCCTAGACAGAAAAGTCTGAGACTCTTATTGTCAACAAATCACCAAAAAGACAGAAGTAGATCTGTGGCTGAAGTGGTAGAACACCAGTCTGGAGTGAGAAAGCCAAGGACAGAACCAGCCCTGAGTTCAAACCCCAGCACCAGCACCAAAAAGAAAAATAAAAAAAGAAGCAATACATTAAATCAATTGAGGGGGAAAGCCTCTCAGGGAAGGAAGGTTTGTGCGCAGCCTTTAGTGTGCCACAGTTAACCGTTAGAGAAGTGACAAAAGGAGGAGAGAGGCTGGGCTGGAACATAACCTGGGCCCTGGGGGAAGGCCCTTCAGAATGTGGCAGGAGCCTCTGTGTCCTGTGTCTTCCTGCAGGCTCGCTCCATTGGCATCAATCCACTGGTGGTCATGCTACCCTGCACACTGAGCGCATCCTTTGCCTTCATGCTGCCTGTGGCCACCCCACCAAATGCTATCGTGTTCTCCTACGGACATGTCCGGGTTTCTGACATGGTAATAGTGCTGCTTTCATTCACTCCTACCAGAGCATGCAGCTCCCCGGGGCAAGGGACACCCTATGTATGAATGTGACATATGGCTTATAGGAGGATAGTGTGTGTGTGTGTGTGTGTGCTGGAGCTAGGGCTTAAACTCAGGACCTTGCACTATTGCTTAGATTTTTCACTAAAGGTTAGTGCTCTGCCACTTGAGCCATACCTTCACTTTCAGCTTTTTGATGATTATTTAGAAGAGATAAGTCTCTCTGATTTGTCTGCCTTTGAACCATGATCCTCTGATCTCAGCCTCCAGACTAGCTCCAGACTAGCTCATTACAGGAATGAGCCACTGGCACCTGGCTATTGCTTACCTTTATCATGCAAACTTCCCAAGGTGTTCTGATATAGAGGTGGGTAAAAAAAACAAAAACAAAAAAACAGTCCCACCTGAAGAACCCCGGTGAGCACTTCAGTCAGGAGCAGGGGTCTTACATGGCTATTGTGGACTTGCCCATCTAGCCTGCACCCTGAGGATGGGAAGAAGGGAGATGGCTTGCAGAGGTGTCAAAGAGGTGAGTGCAATAAACCAGGCCCTACTGGCTCTTGCCTGAAAGCCAGATACTCAGGAGACTGAGATCTGAGGATCACAGTTCAAAGCTAGCCTGGGCAATTAGGCTCATGAGACTCTTATCTCCAATTAACCACCAAAAAGCCAGAAGTAGAGCTGTGGCTCAAGTAGTAGAGCACCAGCCTTGAGTGAGAAAGCTAAGAAAGAAGGTGAGGTCCTGAGTTTGAGCCCTAATACCAGCAGGCATATGTGTATGCATACACACACACACACACACACACACACACACACACACACGAAGTAGGTGCCAGGAATGGGTGGACTGCCTGAAAGAAGAGAAGCACGGGTCGTCACTGTAATTTGCTTTACGTCTGGTTTGTTTTTTGTTGGGAGGAGGACGGATCTACTGCTCTGGGTCAGAAACAAGGCAACTCATGTGAGCAAGACACCAGAAACAAAGGTCCCTACCTTGAAACAGCCAGGGGCCAGTGAGCTCCTCGGGCATTTTCACCAGGAAGGTATATCCCAGAAACCATTTCTTGCCACCCTGATTCAGATGATTCAAGAAATGATTATTGAGCATTATGGAAGAAAGAGCAGTCAACAGAAAGATGTAAAGAAGGAAGCTGGGCATTGGTGGCTCATGCCTTGTAATCCTAACTACTTAAGAGGTTAAGATCTGAGGATAAAGGTTTAAAGCTAGCCTAGGCAGGAAAGTCTGTGAGATCTGTATCTCCAATACCCAGCAAAATGCCAGAACTATAGGTGTGACTCACGTGATATAGTACCAGCCTTGAGAGAAGCCTAATGAGAGGATGAGGCCATGAGTTCAAGCCCTAGTAGCAGCGTGTGTGCGTGCGCGCGCACGCATGCGTGTGTGCATGCACGCATGCACACACACACACACACACACACAGAAGAAGGTTACAATGAAGCAGCCGTGTGTTGAGATGACTCAGTGGGCTGATCACCAGACCTGAAGTCATATCTCAGGCTCTGCTGAGGTTTCTCTAGTGGCTACTGATGGATTCCTACTGCCTCCCCAAGGTCATTGTCCAGTGCTATAATGGAAACAGCTGTTTTCTGCAGCCTTCTTCCCAGGATGCTTTGTGCACCGATGACACATGGTGCATCATTTTTTGGGGACAAAAGTCCAGCACAGAGCTGTCAAGGTCCTCTGTCCCCCTCTCCAAGAAGGCTAGCTCCTCGTGTGCCATGCCCTTGTCATGGCAACAGCCAATTTGTGGCCACCATCTCTGACCCTGTGTTTATTTTCCAGATGAAAACCGGAGTCATGATGAATATAATTGGAATCTTCTGTGTGCTTTTGTCTGTCAACACCTGGGGACGGCCCATATTTGACTTGAGTCACTTTCCTGAGTGGGCTAATTTGACATCCACTGACACTTAGAAAGAGCTGCAAGACCCCGAGTGTGGCTCCTACTCTCCTGAAAACTATGAACATTTAGCACAGCTTGCACAGAACACTGGGGACACCCCCGTAGGATCCAATGACACCCACACCCCACCAATACCCAGCCAGTCTGGGATGCCTTTGCCTTCCGGCCTGGTTTCAAGAGATGATAAAGGGTGACTGGAGAGAAGGCTTGGAAGCAAAGGCGGCCCCCTCAAGGGCTCTGCTATCATCTCTGGGATGAGCAAGTAGTAGAAGAACCAAGATGCAGGCTCTTAAACTGTTGGCCCATGCTGAGCTCAGGCTCTTATCTGCTTAGTCCCAGACAGTCCTGGGATGCGACCTGAGAAGACAGACAGCCAGCACCTGGACCTTCTCCAGCTGTCTCAGACTTTCTCTGTCACCCTGAAGGAGCCAGGACAGAATGTCTGGTCTTGGGCAGGCTCCCCATATTGAAGTGGTAGTGGGAGCCTGTCAGGGCCTCCTGCAGACTTGTGTAGCACCAGCAGCACGGCAAAGGTCAAGCGACTTGAGGATGCTATCTGCTTCCCTTCTGCAGCTCACCCTCGGCTGCCCTATCTCTGCCTTCCCTCATTCTACGCTCATTAACAATCTGGATGCTTTCCCCTACTCTCCAGTGAGCCTCTCACTTCCTAGGTGCCTTTTGTCCAGGCCAGCAGCTGTTCAAGCTCCCCGGCCCCAGGCCCTTTCCTCCCAAGGAAGTCAGTTTGGCTCTTCTAGGAGATGTGTTTCATGCCTTCCCTAAACTCAAATCACACTCCCAATGGTGGGCAGTGGCGGCTCACTTGTCTTTTGTGGCCATGCCAAATGGCCACAAAGCGTGGCTGAGGAGTGGAGCTTTCGGTCCCTCAGCTGTCAGGCCCTTCTGTGAGTTTCCTGGGCACTGCCCCCAGAATGTCTGTGGGAATCCTCGGGACCCTGAAGAGACCAAAACAGACAAGGAGAACAGCAAAGACTGTGTATCTGTTTCTTGGAGAGAGATGACTCCTGACCACACTGCCCAAGGCTTTGCCCTAGTGAAGTGTTGTTCTGTCTGCCATGGAAAGGGCCACTGTGCTTGAGCTGTCTCTGCTTTTCTGCTGTGACACTGCGTGTGCGCACGCATGTGTATGTGTGCGCGCGCATGCGTATGTGAGTATGTGTGTGCATGTGCAGGCATGCATGTGTGTGGTATGCTCAGAGGTGGGGTGCCTCTTGTACCTATGAATCTGCTGGCTATTCCATCTTTGCAGTAACTCTGAAACAAGCAGTTGATATCATCCTTTGTTGTCCTTGAAGCAAAACAAAGCTCAGAGTGGCCAAGTGATGGGTCCTATGTCACACATCAAGTGAATGAGAGTCTGTGGTTTGAATAAAGCTTTTCCAACTCCACATCCATTGCTCTATCAGCTAGCCATTTGGGACCATCACCATGCAGAGTTGGTAGGGAAAGGTGGGAGACCCACAACAAGCCCACCCCAGAAAGAACCATGAGTTCCTTCCTTGTTGTCTGCTCTGAGGTGAGTTCAGGACCATGTTGAATTAGAGTTGGTCCTTTGCCCTGAGACATAATGCATTTTGGTTGGGAGAGAGTTATGGAAATGGTGACTGCAACGTAATGGTTGCTGCCGCCTCATGACCCATCTCTATACCCCACCCCACTCCGGGAGTGAGGGCTTGGGCTGTGCCCTGTAGCTGGCCCAGAGCAGGCCACCCTAAGTGTGACTTATAAATAAATGAGTTATCTATCAGGTCAGCTGGTGAAGATATGACTCCCAGGTGATGGAGACGGCCCATGTGTGGAGAAAGGACTTGGTGGGGTGCGTTTAGCTGTACCTGGATTGAGGGCAGACAGGAAGCAGGACCAGTGGTAGGATGACCTGACCAATGGCTATCTCTAACCAGCAATCTCTTGCAGTTGGCTGGTCCCACTCGCCTGTGTGGCTGGTCCTTGGGAGGAAAGCTTTTGGCTACAAATAAGAGAATGCTTAGGGTCTAAGAGTGGCTTAAACTATAAGACTAATATTTTCTTAACAAGTCAAAGTAGATGGCTTCCAAGGATTTGGACTCCATTATTCAATGGCGATGTTCAGAGGATCACATTTTTCCCCTCTTGGTGGGGCCTCAGGCTACATACATATCTGGGTTCCTTCTAGGCAGGAAGAAAGGGGTGCAGGGTGTAGGTTTGATGTACCAAAGTGCATCCTTCCCATTCATTCATTAGGAAAGTAAACTTTACACAGACCCTGTGGAGCTGTCCCTTACTGGTTAGAACAGGCCCACCCACCCACCATCCTTTAACCAATCACTGACAAAGAGACTTAGGATACTGTTAGAGTACCATGAGACTGGTTGGGTTGACAACAGAAGATTCCATCACACAATGTGGACTCTTGACAGGAAGCATGGTGGGGACGTGGGCAGATGCGGTTGGGTAGCCACTAAACAGGGTCTTGAGTGATTCCATTTTCACCAAATCCAACAGAAACATGTGGCTAGTAAGCAAATGAAGTTCTCAAGAGCTTCAGCAGTGCCTCTACTTCCTAAAGGCTAGCCTCCTCTGACGGGCCCCCTGGATGGGAGGCGTGGGACCATGTCTGAACTACGGTCCTTGCATGTGACATTGAGCAAGTCATCCGACTCCTGGGTCTCAGTTTTCCCCCATTAAGGGCCCCAGGAAAGCCACAAGACCACGGATCCCCTTGCCCCAGGTGACCCTTATCTTTCCCCACCACTGTCACCCCATGCCCAACCCCAGGCATTCCCAGTTCAAAACAGGTCCCCTCTCCTATCTGGGGCATGGCAAGTTGGCATCAGGCCATTTTGGGCTTTTCTTCACTGGGACTTAAACTCAGAACATCAAGCTCTTGCTTAGCTTTTTCACTCAAGGCTAGCACGCTACTACCTGAGCCACAGCTCCAGTTCCTGTCTTCAAATTTTTAGAAATAGGTTGTATCTGGATCAGCCATTTGAACCCAAGGTTAGCTGAATGCATTATTTTGATCAGGTCGCTGCTAATATTTTTGCCCCAAGGATTCTATATATCCCAAAGGCCAAGTTCCCAGGCTCTTTACCCCTTTATTCCCAAGCTCAAAGTTCCAAAAGGCAGAGAAGATTCCCCTTCCCTGAGTGTCCTGGACTGAGTGGCATCTGCCTGGGACAAGTGATGTCTCCCCTCCTTCCCAGGCCTCCAACCCACAAAGGCTTCTGCTCAAGGCTCCATGCAAGACATCAGCTTGCTAGCAGACTACAATTCACGAAATGGAGAAAGATATTCCTGTTTGTGGAAATAAAGATTGATTACTGGATTGGTTACTAAAACTGCATCTGCCTGTCCCAGCCTTCAACTAAGAGTTTCTTCTTTCAGGAAGTCTCTCTTTAGTCTCACAGAATCTCAAGAACTTGGCTCCCAACCTACCAGGCAAGCATTTGATCTCTTCATTTTAAAAATAAAGATTTACCTACTGCTGGCGGCTCATACTGTAATCCTTGCTACTCAGGAGACTGAGAGCTGAAGATCGCAGTTTGAAGCCAGTCTAGGCAGAGAAGTCCACAAGACTCTTATCTCCAATTAACCAGCAAAAATCCAGAAGCTGTGGCTCAGGTGGCAGAACACCAGCCTTGAACAGAAAAAGCCAAGTAAGAGAGTGAGCCCCTGAGTTCAAACCCCACAGAAGAAGAACAAAAAAGTTGCACCCAGATAAATCGTGTACAGCATGGACGAGCTTTTCTATACTGTAACCAGAAGCATTTGTGTCAAGTCAAAATCTTCGCAGTTACATTTTCTGCTCATTTTGCTTGTTCCTTTCCAGGCAGGGCTCAGGTGCTCACTTTCCTATATTAGAATATCTTCTCTGATATTCTATATTTCTATATTTCTTCGAAATGCCCTCTTCCAAGCAGAACCACAGGCCACCTCTTGGCGCCAGCTCTCTAGGGTAGGAAGATTCAAATTCAATGTCAGAATGTCCTATTATATACATATGAGTATAATACAGGAAATTCCAACAATATAAAAGGTACTGAGATGCATTTTTCCAATCTCAGACCTTGAGTCTCTCTGGCCCTGCCCAGAAAGGCAACTGCTGTCAATAGCTTCTTACATATATCCTTTTTCCTCCCCAAATCGTTTTGTTATTATAAAGGTGATATACAGAGCAGTTACAGTTATATAAATCAAGAGTATATTTCTTTTTGGACAGAGTTACCCCTTCCCTCACTCTCTCCCAGTTTTTCCCTCTCATCCCACCCACATGTTGTATAGTTCATTTTCAACATAGTGTCCAGTGAGTAGCACTGATGCATCTGTTCACCCTTTGTCCCTCCATTACTGTGCCTCCCCTTATACTCCTAAAGACGATAAATGAACATATAGAACAAGAAGAAATGAGAAGAAAAACAACAAAAGAAAAAAACTTGCTTTCATTTCCTTAATTTCAATAAATATTATTTTGTATGATCAGATGTGCATAGGCACTGTACCTTTAGGTTCTTCTCCTAAGAGTATCTTCCTTTAGTCTGAATGAATGCCTAGAGACCTGTATAATTTATTATGTCCCAGCATTTCAGATTTTGTTTCTGTATATGTTCTTTTTTTTGGGGGGAGGGGTCCGGTCGTGGGGCCTGAACTCTGGGCCTGAGCGCTGTCCCTCAGCTTTTCAGCTCAAGGCTAGTGCTCTACCACTTGAGCCACAGCACCCCTTCTGGCTTTTTCTGCGTATGTGGTGCTGAGGAATTGACCCCAGGGCCTCATGCATGCAAGGCAGGCGCTCTACCACTGAGCCACCTTGCCAGCCCCTCTGTATATGTTCTTACATATAATCTAGGAAATATTATAAGCCCGGCGCTGGTGGCTCACGCCTGTAATCCTAGCTACTCAGGAAGCAGAGATCTGAGGTCATGGTTCAAAACCAGCCCAGGCAGAAAAGTCTGTGAGACTTTTTTTTTGTCGCTGTTGGGGCTTGAATTCTGGGCCTGGGTGCTATCCCTGCGCTCTT